GGAGGGGGAACAAGATCTACACAAAACACATGTGTAAAGTCAACAACATCAGAGGAAAGAATGTCAGCATATTTTTTAGACCAAACAAAACAGCTGCTAGCTATATGGAAGCAGGATATAATCCACCATCTGAAATTCAAACAATAAACATAAATGTTAAAATGGAGTCTAATACTGTCCACTTTCCCAATGCGCTGGAATATTTGAAATCTATACAGCTATGACTTCTTACCAGCTGCTCTAGTGTGATAACAGATTTATTAGAACTGACAACTTCATGTTCTTCACATCTTGGAAATCATACCAAAATATGTTCCACGTGTGATAATAATGTCTTATTTTTTTATACATAGTTGTAAAGCCTTCTTAAGCTTCAAATTTAACAATGGGAGCCTATAGGAGCTTTTCTTAGTGTAATGTCTGTATTTCTAGGGCTAGTGGCAGAATCCATGTTAGCAGAGTCCTGTTCCTTTTGCTCCATGAGCTGAGGTGCAAACTAAATGAGAATGCAATGCCATCAGTGGGACATGCGTGATCACTTGATTACTGTTGCACTCACAAAGCAGAATGTATACGTGGCTCAATCAAGTTGTCCTGATCTTTTCCATGGAGACCACATGATCAGGCCATGTGATGTGTACACAGCATGTGCTGATCACTGAAAGACATTGGAAAGGTTTGTAAATGCAGTCCTATTGCATTCACAATACAGAAGAGTTTTCAGTCCTAATGTGGTAGTATCACCTTCTGTTTTTTTTTTTAAATCTTCCCAGAGCAGATTACCTGTGAGTGACCAATAACAGGCATACATAACCTTAATGAAAATGTTTAGTTCTAATGGGGTATAATCACCTTTGCAAAATCATATATCAATCAATCATAAAGCTGATGCTTAAAGCTGAACTATAGACAGATTAAATATGGATATGTAATCCTTTAAAATAATATTAAAAGTATTTTTTTCACAGAGCTAGCATAGATACCTGAAACTGAGCCAATATCAGCATCCTTTAATTCCCTGTAAAACAGCAAAAATACTGGGAGGGGGGTGGACCAAGTCTGCACCAATTAGGGCTCTACTGTTTTGTACAGAACTGTCAGTCAATAGTTTGAGCATTTTTGTTCTTATGTATGTCTGTATAGTATTGGAATAAATGACAATGGTAAGTCAGATTGTTAGGTGCTAAAAGTCAAAAACTTACATTAACCCATGCAGTGCAGTCCCTCCACAATGCATGGGTAAAATGCTTGTTTGTCTAGGAATAGGGTGCATACTTATCTTACTCCCCGCTTTTGCAGCCTTCCTTCTCTTCGTGTGATCTCAAAGTGCCTTCACTTAGCTGGCAGGCTAGTATTGGCACTCGCCAACTGCATGGGTAAATTTTATAGTAGACCAGAGTGGGGCTTTAAAGGAGAACTATGTGATCAATGTTTTTCACCATAGTTCTCCTTAGGGTAACGGGAGGACACAAACTAGCGTCCTCCCGTTACCCTAAGCTCAGTATACCGCAAGCTACAGCTCGCGGTATACTGAGACGCCGCAGCCGGAGCGGATCCCGACGTAGATGACGGGATCTGCACAGCTGCGTGAATGACAGCTGGCTCTTCCTATCTAGAGGCAGAGCCAGCTGTACCCGCCCCCTCCCCGTCCGCTCCACCAGTCAGCGCTGGCAGATCGGAGCGGGGAGAGGGGAAACCAGCCCCTCCCCCTGTCACGGCAGAGAGCCCTGACATTATCGAGAGGCGAGCGAACCCGGTATGTGTTCGCTCACCTCCCGATCTACTGAGCCAACCTGTGACAGTCTCATTGTCACAGGTCGGCTAGAACTATGAGGTGAGTGAAAAGCACTCACCTCATAGTTCTCCTTTAATCTCATCAATGGAGAGAGTGTATAGGTATGGAAGAAAGTGGTGTGTCTGAGAATGGCAATCAGTAAAATCCCAGGTTTCATTTTTCAGTGGTATGGGGAAAATGTTTAATAACATCACCACTAATCTTTTCCTATTAAAAAACACAAGATTATAATAAAAGAGGTCTAATTTCGGTCACATTTAGATGTAATT